ACACCCGCGCCTAGTCCCATAGCCCCCCAACCACAATAAAATACCTCACCACTTACCAACATTAATGGCCATATGATGGCGCCACCCTCCAGGCCCGGAGCCCCGACCGCCCGCAGCTTCCTCTCCGTTGCCTCAGCCGCCGCCGCCGCCATCGCCGCTCAGACTGGGGCCCGCCGCCCAGCGATTGGAGAGCTGTGCGGGCCACGCCGACGACTCATTAGTCAAGCAGCCTGCCCGTCACTACGAGCTAAGACTCCATTGGGGAATGTTACTTGGCAATCAAATAAGACCCCACCTCCGAGGCGGGGGATTGCTCCAAATTCTCAAATCCCGGTAGGTGAAATCGGCCAGTCAATCAACACGCGTCCCACCTCCTCTCAAGTCCTTAGGTAACAATACCGCCACGCTGTGACGACTTTCCTGCTTCTTCCGTTTATGGGCGGGTGCACGAGGTATATGCCGCTTCGTGATTGGTCGCTGGCTAGACAAGTGGCAAGGACCAATCTTCCGATTGCTTGGACGCAGTGGCCCAGTCTCAGATGGCGATTGGCTCGCGAAGGGCTGACATCCGTTTTGATAGATGAACCTTGCCCCCAAATGGCACGCCGGGCTTACCGCACGGGAAAACGCAGGTCACATGACTAGTCTTAAAGTGGCCACCATTTGACACTACTGGTTGCCAACTGTTGGAAGGTACGAGCCGGACACATTGCGGCGGTTTCTGGCAACTGGTCTCCTGACCAGAAAAGCACCCGCAGATTGGGATATTGCTTGAAATGGAGGGTTCTGAATGGAGGTCCCCAAGAAGGAGCTTGCTTTTGCCATTCAAGTTATTGGTACTACCATCCACCAAGTCTCCCAAACAAGCAGGGAGGAATCCTTATTCCAGAGCTACCAGGCACGAGTCCTCTCCGTTGCGTCTTCCTGCACGGACGTATTTTCCAAGACCTCTGCGTATGTCCCAGTTTCGCCTCTTCCTTATCTTGGACTTTTTGCTCTGTCCCCGTAATGGGTCTCTCGGCTTCCAAGGTCGCCCCTCCAATCAGCACAACTCCCAGACTGAGTTTGCTGCCCCTTGCTGTCCAGGCCACCGTGGCTTACAGACCTCAGGACTAGACTACTACGCAAATGTTATTTCCACACTCAATGCAGTGCGTGTACCTGCACCCGTCGGTGCCTCCGTACCTGCAGCTCCTCTTCAACAAGACCGTTGCAAACCTCTTCTGAGAAGCCTTCCACTAGCCTCCCCTCCTTTCCCATGGTGGGGGGGGGGGGGGGCGGGGGGGGAGGACTACTTCACTGTGACCTTAATTATTTTGTGTTGCGTTTCCTAACTAGGTCCTCAGAGCTTGGAGATAAGAGGCTGGATCCTATTTATATTTGCATCTCCCCTGTGGGGCAATATACCTAGACATAGTTAAGTGTCCAATAATGTTTGCTGACAAAGGATGCATTGACTGGGGCTCTGGGTACCACCCTTCATCTTCAGTGCTTTCCCAGCCCCCAAATCCTCCTTCAGACCCCAGAGGACTTTCTCCAGTCAGGATCCCACCACACTGTTGCACTATTAGATACCAGCGAGACCTAGTCCTGGAAGGCAGGGTTGCCATATTTTGATAGTGATCCTATGCATTTGTTAAGAATGAAAGAACGGCCGAAACCGGTTTGGCTCAGTGGATAGAGCGTCGGCCTGCGGACTGAAAGGTCCCAGGTTCGATTCCGGTCAAGGGCATGTACCTGGGTTGCGGGCACATCCCCAGTGGGAGATGTGCAGGAGGCAGCTGATCGATGTTTCTCTCCCATCGATGTTTCTAACTCTCTATCTCTCTCCCTTCCTCTCTGTAAAAAATTAATAAAATATATTTTCAAAAAAAAAAAAAAAAAAAAAAAAAAAAAAAAAAAAGAATGAAAGAACGGAGGTGCTAAGTCGGCAAGAGGGATGTTTGTAGCCAGACCAAGCTATGGTTTGAAAGCCAGTTTAACACGAGCCCAACCAAATAGTTAAACAGCCCCAATAGGAGCAGGAGGATTTGGACTAGAGGACATCCCTGTTTGCAAAAACAAAAGTCACAAGCTTCTCAGTATACCCCACTCTTCCCCCCTCACTCACTTTTTCTCGCAAATCCTTACCTCAGAAACAGGGGAACTTGGAGCAGAGTGACAGTCACAGTCCTCTAAACATTTCCCTGAAAATTTCTTCATCAGCTTCAGTGGTCTGGGAGAACTAAATTCAGCACGGAAGACAAGCTCTACAATGTGAGTTCACTGGAAGAAAAACCTTTTATACTGTACTTAATCCAATAAAGATTTGGGTGTTTTATTGGGACCTAGTTTAATCTAATCAAACCAATTAAGAGAAATGGGATTTTTTAAAATGCCTTCATTCCTAATTTTGTTGAGCACTTGATTTTGTAACAGGCACGATCCTAGCCTCTTTACTATAGTATCTCATTGCAGTCTCATGACCACCTTAGGAAGTATTTCCAAAACCGTATCTTTTTTACAGATGAGGAAAAAGTAAAGTAACTTGCCCAAGTCATGAGACTAATTAGAAGTGAGCAGGGAATTAAAAGTCAGTTTTCAAAGTTTAGATCTATCAAAATTACTGTAAGGTTTGTTTTAAAACACAAAGATTACATTATATCTGATGCTGAAACTGGAAAAAAACTAAGTTCCAACAATAGACAAGTGTGTAGGCAAACTATAATACATCTAAAGATTATTATGTACCTATTAAAAGGTTTACACAGCCCTAGCCTATTTGGCTGAGTGGATAGAGCGTTGGCCCTCAGTCTGAAGGGTCCCAGGTTCGATCCCAGTCAAGGGCACGTACCTTGGTTGCAGGTTCTCCAGCCCTGGTCGAGGTGCGTACAGAAGGCAAACAATCAATGTGTCTCTCACATTGATGTTTCTCTTTGTCTCTCCCTCTCCCTTCCACTCTCTCTAAAAATCAATAGAAAAAGATCCCAGGTGAGGATTAACCAACAAAATAAAAATAAAAGGTTTACACATAGTGTGTGAAAACATAAACATTTTTGTTAGTCCAAAAAAGTAGAATGCAAAATTGTATATAAAGAATGACTAAAACTATGTATATCTTATTTTTAAAAAACCCAAAAAATTAGGTATTGGGGGTAAAAAGGAACAAGAACCAGTATAGTCTTGTCTTTGGCAGTATGTACCAAAAGCTTTTTTTTAAATAATATATTTTATTGATTGTTTACAGAGAGGAAGGGGGAGGGATAGAGAGTTAGAAACATCGATAAGAGAGAAGCATCGATCAGCTGCCTCCTGCACACTCCCTACTGGGGATGTGCCTACAACCAAGGTACATGTCCTTGACCAGAATCGAACCTGGGACCCTTTAGTATGCAGGCCGACGCTCTATCCACTGAGCTAAACAGGTTAGGGCACCAAAGGCTTTTAAAATGTTGAAATTCTTGAAGCAGTAGCCCTGTAAGTTGCTTGGTGTTAAAAAAAAGAAAGAAAAAGAAATGTTGAAATTCTTAACTCAGCAATTGTGTTTCTTATCATCTGTTCTAAAGAAATAATCTAGCCTGGTGGGTGTGAACTAGAGCATAGTTTGATTCTTGGTCAGAGCACATACCCAGGTTGCACGCTGGATGCCCAGTAGGGGACGTGCAGGGGGCAGCCGATCAATGGTTCTCTGTCATCATTGATGTTTCTATCTCTTTCTCCCTCTGCCTCCCCCTCTCTCTAAAATCAATTAAAACATATTTCATTAACAAATAATCTAAAAACTGGGAAAATATTTGAGAATTAAAATATCCATCAAACTGAAAAAATGTAAACAACTTGAATGTCCAAGTGGGCATTTTCAGGAAAATTATTGTACAAACATAGATGTAATTTTTCATAGTCATTATACCTTCAAAATATTTTAATGATAAAGAAAAATGCTTGCTATATAATAATCAGAATTGGAGTATACATTATGAATAGGTATGATCATAAAATATAAGCACAGATAAAAGATGGGAAAGCAATATGCCAAAACATTAATAGTGGTTCTTTCCGGGTAGTAGGATTATGATTGATCATCTTCTTTATAATTTTCTATGTTCTAAAATTTTTCCACAATATCATATATTATTTTTTTGTGTGTGGTGGTGGTGTGGGGGGGGGCGGGGGCTATTTAAAATTTGTAAAAACGCCAACTTCCAAACTTACTCTAATAAGCATGATTACTTTTTCAAACACATTAAAAAAGATATTTGAATGGTGACTTGTAAAGATACTTCCCTGTTAGAAGGCATGGATACCATCTTACTGATATTTACCCATTCCCTATCCCTGTGTGCTCAATAAGTGGTAACTAAGTGAATCATCTGTAAAATCTGATTTCTTGCCTGTTATTAATGTATAAAGAACATCAAAGAGATGACTCTGAGGATTTTTTTTTAAAGTTAGTATATGTAATAATATGAGATCCACCCATTATGTATATTATTTTCCTTCAGTAATAACCTATCAATAGAGAGCTGAAGAATTTTGGGAAAACTGAAACTCAGTGATGTGCTCAAGAAGGAAAAATGTGTTAATAGAAGTGAATGGTCAGTGCAATTGCAAAAAGGAGAATTAAATTAGTAAAATGAATGAGGATATCTCCAGTTTTGTCTGGAAGGGAAAAGTTTTCTCACTAAACATAAATACTTGGCTTCTTGGTAGTTCCATGCCCATTTTTGACTCCTGCTTTGAAATTTTCTTTTTGCTTAATTTTATTTATTGATTGGTTTTGGAGAAAGAAAATCTATTTGTTGTTCCATTTATTTATGCATTCATTGGTTGATTCTTGTATGTGCCCTGATGGGGGATTAAACCCGCAACCTTGAAGTATTGGGATGATGCTCTAACCAACTGAGCTACCTGGCCAGAGCTCTGCTTTGAAATTTTTACCGGCTACAATAATTCTCTATAATCTAGAACTACTAATAGTCACACATGGGTACTGAGCCCACGAAGCAATGAATAGTCTAAAATGAGATGTGCTGGCAGTGTCAAATATACACCCAATTTCAATGACTTAGTATGAAAAAGAGACTATAAAATAACTTAATTGTTTAATATTAATTTTAGATTGAAATTATAAGTTTTTATATACTGGGTTAAATAAAATATTATTAAAATTAGTTTTACTGGGTTTTGTTTGTTTTTTTAATCCTCACCTGAGGACCTACTTACTGATTTTAGAGAGAGGGGGCGGGAAAGAGAGAAACATTGATGTGAGAAAGGAACATCGATCTGTTGCCTTCTTGAATGCACTCCAATTGGGAATCGAACCCACAACCTAGGTATGTGCCCTAACCAGGAATTGAATCCACAACCTTTCAGTGCACAGGACAATGCTCCAACCAACTAAGCCACACTGGCTTATTTTAAATGAGGCTACTGGAAAATGTAAAACTACATCTGTGGCTTGTATTATATTTACAAAATTTGTGCACTGGTGTGGGGGCGATCCCTCAGCCTGGCCTGCACCCTCGGGGGATGTCCCTGCAGGGAGCGGGCCCAAGCCATCAGTCAGACATTCTTAGCACTGCCGCAGAGGCTGGAGAGGCTTCTGCCACCACCACTGTGTTCTCCAGCCATGAGTCTGGCTTCTGGCTGAGTGCACTCCCCCAGTGGGAGTGCACTGACCACCAGGGGGCAGCTCCTGCGTTGAGCATTCTGCCATTCAGTTGATTTGCATATTAGCTTTTTATTATATAGGAGGATATTGGACAGTGTTAATATAGAACCTTAGAGATTGATCATTTACTCTATTTTAAGCAGGCTCCAATTCTTTCCTTTTTTTTTGTTTGTTACTTGTTATTTTTTATTGATTCCAGAGAAGAAGGGAGAGGGAAAGAGAGAAACATCAGTGATGAGAGAGAATCACCAATTAGCTGCCTCCGACCCACCCCCTACTGGGGATCCAGCTCGCAACGAGGCATGCGCCCCTGACCGGAATCGAACCTGGAACCCCTCAGTCCGCAGGCTGATGCTCTATCCACTGAGCCAAACCGGCCAGGGCTCTTTTTTTTTTTTTAAAGATATTTTATTTTTTGTTATTAATCCTCACTGGAGGATATTTTTCCACTGAATTTTAGAGAGAGTGGAAGGGAGGGGGAGAGACAGAGAGAAACAACAATGTGAGAGAGATATGTTGATTGGTTGCCTCCCAGTCAGGGCCAGGGATCAAGCCTGCAACCGAGGTACATGCCTTTAGTCTGCAGGCAGATGTTCTATCCACTGAGCCAAACCAGCTAGGACTCTCTTTTAAAAAAGAAAAGGAAAAAATATATATATTATATATATATATTCGTATTGATTTTAGAGAGGGAAAGGAAGAGAGAAACATCAGTGATTAGAGAGAATCATTGATCAGCGGCCTCCTGCACAACCCCTACTGGGGATGGAGCTCCAAACCCGAGCATGTGCCCTGACCCAGGATCAAAGCATGGTCTCCTGATTCATAGGTCGATGCTCAACCACTGAGCCACACCTGCGAGGCCAGACTCCAATTCTCTCTAGTCAAAGTCTGGCCCTACCTATTTCAATCCCTAGGTCTTCCCTTGTATATACTAGTAAGTGGGGTGGCCATTTAAATGAGAAGGAACCTCTGTTGGGCTGCTTAATTTCTAGTCTGTTTGGTTAACTTTTTAAAAATTTTGTACCTGAAAAACTTGTTTTAATATACTGTACCAGAATTATGTATTCCTTTTTTTTATATATATATTTTATTGATTTTTTACAGAGAGGAAGGGAGAGAAATAGAGAGTTAGAAACATCAATCAGCCGCCTCCTGCACATCTCCTACTGGGGATGTGCCCACAACCCAGGTACATGCCCTTGACCGGAATCGAACCCGGGACCTTTCAGTCCGCAGGCCGACGCTCTATCCACTGAGCCAAACCGGTTTCGGCGATTATGTATTCCTTATTAAAATATCAGAAAATATGAGAAAATAGCCTGGCCCTGTGTGGCTGTGGTTGAGGGTCAAGGCATGCACCAAGCAGTCCCAGTCAGGGTACATGCCCGGGTTGCAGACTCGATCCCCGGTAGGGGCATGCAGGAGACAGCCAATATATGTTGATGCATCAGTGTTTCTATCTCTCTCTCCCTCTCCTTTCCTCTTGCTCTAAAACCAATATAAATAAATAAATAAATAAATAAATAAATAAATGCAATAAAAACATATATATTTTAGTTTTTTTTAAATATATTTTATTAATTTTTTACAGAGAGGAAGGGAGAGGAATAGAGAGTTAGAAACATCGATCAGCTGCCTCCTGCATACCCCCCACTGGGGATGTGCCTGCAACCAAGGTACATGCCCTTGACTGTAATCGAACCCAGGACCCTTGACTCCGCAGGCCGATGCTCTATCCACTGAGCCAAACCAGTCAGGGCAAAAAAAACCATATTTTTAAAATATATTTTTATTGATTTCAGAGAGGAAGGGAGAGGGAGAGAAACATCAATGATGAGAAAGAATCATTGATCAGCTGCCTCCTGCAGGACCCCCACTGGGGATTAAGCCTGCAACCTGGGCATGTGTCCTAACCGGGAATCGAACCATGACCTCCTGATTCATAGGTTGACATTCAACCACTGAGCCATGCCAGCTGGGCAATAAAAACATCTTTTTGAAAAACAGAAAATACTGACAACAAAAAGAATAAGACAAAATTACCCATAAAATCCACCACCCAGAGATAATCACTACTGATATTTTGGTATATACCCTTCCTTAAATTTTCAACACAAAAATACATATAGAGGCATGTGTGCACACATTTATTTGTTTATTTTTGGGAACATACTGTATATATTATTTTTTCCTTTTTAAAAAAATATATTTTTATTGATTTCAGAGAGGAAGGAAAGAGAGAGAGAGAAGCATCAATGATGAATCACCAACTGGCTGCCTCCTGCACACCCCCTACTGGGGATTGAGCCGGGCATGTGCCCTTGACCGGAATCGAACGCAGGACCTTTCAGTCCGCAGGCTGATACTCTGTCCACTAAACCAAACCAGCTAGGGCTCCAATTTCATTTTTAATGACTTTACTCGTCACCTTAGAAATGAGGCCTTTCCTAACCACTCTATTTAAATTTGAAATCTATACATAGGTACACCTTCCAATCCTGCCCTAATGAATTATTTTTCTTCATAGCATTTTTTAAAGATATATTTTTATTGATTTCAGAGAGGAAGGGAGAGGGAGAGAGAAACATCAATGATGAGAGAGAATCATTGTGCACACCCCTCACTGAGGATCGAACCCACCACCCGGGCATGTGCCCTTGACCGGAATTGAACCTGGGACCTTTCAGTCTGCAGGCGGACCCTCTACCCATTGAGCCAAACCAGCTAGGCTCTTCATAGCATTTGTCACCTAACATGAAATGTTATGTTCGTGAATATGGTGAGATTTATTTACCTGTTGTTTGTTTCTCTTACTAGAATGTAAGTAACATGATGGCAGAAATCTGTGCTTGTTTATTCACTTCTCTACTTCAGTGCCTAACTATGCTTAACACACAAAAGATGTTTGAATGTTTTGCTACATGAATGACTGAATGAAGAACTATATAATATTTCATTATATTGTTTTCTGGTTGATTTTTAAAATATTGTAATTTATATCTCACCTCTATCCACATTTAAGGCAGCTTTTAAAGTTTTCAAAGGATCTAGTCTTAAAAACACAGAATATCTACAGTCCATCAACTTGCTAAAATTTTAACTAAATGTTGCTTAACTTTAACCAAAAATGCCATTTGGAGAAATAACATTCACAGAAAACTGAAAGGTAAACAATCCACCTGTCCATTTAGTCTAAAATTTATCCCAGTATTAAACTGTAGCATCATAGAGCATATTTTGGCCAAATTGTGATGAACCTAGTTAAACAAGCTTAGGGCCTACTGAATCCCCATTTGGCATTTCTATAAGAAACAGTGGTGCAAAATTCAGCATATGTGCTCTCAGGTATTACAGATTGTGGTGTCCTTGATATCACTCAGCGTCTTCTCAGAAGAGCCACAAAACTTTTTGCCCATCTTGGGAACTGATATACTTTTACAAATCCTAAGATGAATGTGAATCTCATTGTGTTTCCTAATTTGTCTTTGCTGCCAAGAAGCTCAGAACTGAATTCATAGCCTCGCTTTAGTATTTGGGAAAACTGTTTAAAGAATGCCTTCTGTGCATTAATTTTCCTTTTGCTTTCATTTTATTAAAATATTTCAATTTTCCCTATTTTAAAAATCTGTATTTTCCCATATTTTATCTTTTGAGTATTCTAGTAAGATGTTGCTTTTTGGCAAATATCAATCAATCAATTATTAAACCAATAACACTGCAGTGGAGATAAATGCACTAGCTATCATAGCCTGAAGGTATTAACTATTAAGAGCATCTAATTCCCCTTTCCCCTGGTGCCATGTTCACCAAGCCACTCTCAGATTTTAAGATGGCTTGCCCTGTATATTTTTTTTTTTACAGAGAATGGAAATGCAACCCTGGATGCCTCTAAGCAATGTATTTCTTTCTACAATTTTAACACATAAACCCAAATATTTTATTGCATTGGATTCTAGAAAGACTAGAAAATTCCTGCTTGTAATTTAAAATTAGGACCACGATTCCTGTCAGACATGATTTTGATGTGGTCCTAGACTAGAAGTACAGAGGATGGGCTAATTCCTATCGTTTCCATCCAACTTAGCAGTTTGTATTAAAATGTCCGAAACCAATTGTCTCAAGGGATCAGGAAAGGAAGCAGGAACTTCATTTTTGCCAGACTTAAGTCTAAAGTAGGCAACAGGGTATATTGGGGAGAAATGCTCACTATCACACACTTCTGATTAGAGTTTGAACACAACTGGGGACTTGACTGCCATCATACAAAGATATTTGGTAGGTTTTCTTTGTGCCGTCCCAAAGTACCATACTAGTATACACACAACCTCTTAAGGCTTGGGCTGGCACAGATGGAGTTCTTGGCTTTAGGCATTTGACCCAAGTGGGAGGATAGGGGAACAACTCTGATTTCCTATTCAACACTTCCAAAATCTCTATTACTCCAGTTCTTGTCTTTAACAAAGGGCAGGTCGAGATGATTGGATCAAGAAACACCCTGACCCCAGGCTACACAGTGTAGAAGTCACAAACCCTGATCAGTCCTTCTCATTAAACTTCTGGGCTTTATTTATTTATTTTTAATACGACCATTACATATTACACAAAAATAAAAGTCAAACGAACTTGGTATTTATAAATTATTAAATAAAAATACAGGAATATATATTTATATTTATAGAGCTTTTTCTTTTCTTCTAAACTAACCAAATCTTTCTCCTGCCATTTTATGATTTAAAAAAGTAAAATAGTGTATGCCCTAGAATAAGTGGGGAGTGGGCTTAATAATCGCAGGACCCAGTTGCTCTACTTCTGCTCCTTCCTTGGCCTAAGCAGTCCCTATTTGTCCCTTTGGGCTCTGGAGAGAAGGAAACACCCTCTCCGCCTATTTAATCTCTGAAAAATAGCAATTAGATTTATTTCCCTTATTTAAAAAAAAAAAAAAAAGGAATGGGTTTAAAAATTGGGAGCCATACTCAGGCTTCCTGGCCAAGAACTAATCCCAAGGAACTCTATGGCTCTAGAAGAGTCTCTACTTTTCCCTGACAGAAGATTCTCTGGGGTTTCCATTGCCCATCAAGAAGGGCAAGATAGTTCAAAACAGCTCACTGTGGTCCCACCCAAGCTATGCTTCTAGGAATCCATACCAGCCCCCTTACACTTTCAGAATACAGCCTCTCCTTCCACCCAGGTGTGAAGGCCTCAGAGTAGGGCATCTCAGTTACCATGGTCCCCACTGCCCCTGTTTGCTAAAGGCCCCCCAGAAGAGCTAACATGGAAAGGCACCCTGTAGTAGAGGGTAGGGTGACGAGTCTGCCCCAAATCTGGGGGAGCACAGGCTCCAATTTGGAGCCGATGGTCTAGTCAGTGGTTTTCTAACTTTTTTTCAGCAGCAAACCCCTTAATGCAAATAAAATCTTACCCTGAACCCCGACGTGTAAGACAACTACAAGGAGAGCTGTTCTGTTTGAGGGCAAGTAGCCCAGCCTGCTCAGTGTGCCACCCTCCCCTTTCACCTTCATCTTCCCCAAGGACTCCTGAGGCAACCCCTAGGAAATGTTGGGGCTCTGCCAAGCAGTTTGAAAACCACTGGCCTAGTTTGTCCTGAGCAAGTCAGAGACCCACCCCCACCCCCACCCCAGTGGCCTGCCACAGAGCCGCTCTGAGTTTCTAGCATCAGCATACTCATGACACGCCAAGTGGCACATGCAGCCTACCACCTCCCCCATAAATACCATTAAAAAGTGCAGCCCTCTCTCAAGCATAAAAGTTTGGGCTAACCACCTGAGGCCAATTTTGGTCCCACATTCTAGTGAGTACAACTAGGTTGCCACCTTCTGGGACCAAGTGAAAAATCTCCAAGAGTTAACCATGGTCTAGCTAAGCTGATCAGTGCTCAGGATCAAGGGCAGGGTTCTAGAGCACTGTGTATGGAGAAGTCAGCATCGGAGAGCAGCAATTTTAGCACCTTAGAAAGTGCAGCAGTGAGGTCTGGCTCAGGGCATGCATTTGGAGTGAAATCATTTCTTTCTCAAAAGAAAAAGCTATAGTCTGAATCTGTTCTAGAGGGCTGTGAGCTCTAAAGTTAACATTCGCAGACTCTGAGGTACAGACAACACCCATGCAAATAGCGTGGCTTCAAAGAAAATATAAATGCTTCCAGATCATGGTAGGTGCTCTAGAACCCATACACCTGGCCCTTGATAAAGCAGCACCAAAGCCCACCACACGGAACAGGCCAGGCACGGAGTACACATCACCCTCACACCCATGGGTTTCAGAGCTGGAATGTTCCTCTCAAGGCATCAGCAGTCTCACTGAGACATAGTGCAGGACCCAGACTGTATTCTAGATCAGCGTGTACATCTACACTCAGAAGGAAAATTAATTAGAGCCCCAATTTAGAGTTTAAGTTTGGGAACATAAGGTCCCAGAGATAGGGGACACTTTAGGCACCAGTGTACCCCAGTGGGAGAGGAAGGCGGCAGGCAGGTCCAGCTACCAAAGCCTCTACCCACTGCAGGCTCCGCAGCCCTGCCTTTCTGTCAGAGCCCAGGAGGCAGCAGCAAGTGCATGATGCACGAGGAAGGGGGACCGTGAAGGAACAAGGCCGGCTGTAGAACTGCACTTCTCTCCAAAGCCCTGCTAACGACTTTCTGCAGAGAAGTGACCGAAGCCTTCATCTGTATACAGTGTTTCTCCCTCAGCCTTGAGGCAACAGGACAAGGGAAGGAGGGAGGGGGGGATTGAGAGGGGGGCAGAGAACTGCCCCTTTTCTTGCCACTGCAAGAGGGAATGTTTTCTCTTTAAAGAATCCCACTACCACCAGATTAGACAAGCAGCCCAGCATGCACATGCACACGCATGTCCAAGCAGCCCCCTGTCACAGCCGCCTCTCCCTATCACCTGAGAATCTGAGCTTCCATTCAAAGGGACGTGCCTTCCGTGTTCTCCCCAAATCCCACTCATCCAATGGAGGTGCCAGCCCCTTATGCAAGTCCACCTTCCTCGGGGCTGCAAACTGAGCTCCAGCTAGTTTCCTGTGCCTACACCTACAGGCATGATCCCTCCCACCTCCCCCTCCCCCTGGAATGACTCCATCTCCTGGCCCCTGACTTTCCCAATACATTCCCCAAGGTCTCCAGTTCACTCTTCCAACTGCCTGCCTGGCACACTCAGTCCCCTCACACACTACCCTGCCCCTTCCCATCCTAGTTCCATGCCCATCCCTTCACCCCACTTCTTTCAAGGGCATTCTCTGTTCTGTCCTGCTCTCCTGTCCCCCGGCACACCTAGCCCCACTTGGCCCTGGACTTTCTCACTTGCTAGCAAAAAATGCTCCTACAGTTACCAAGGCCCCTAGTGCCACGGCCCCCGTCAGCACTGTCCTCACTGAGGCCCAGTTCCCCTCCCGCAGGCGTCGAGCCTCCTCCAGGGCCCCGTCCCCGTATAGAGCTGTGAACTCCGCCTGTGGGAGAGAAGGGAAGCAGGAGAGAAAGAAGGAGAAAGGGATATCAGGAGAGGAAAGAGTAGAGAAAAGAGGAGAGGGAGAGTTCCAGTTCCATTCACTGCAAGCACTACCCCATGCCCAGCCCCACTCTGGCCAAAGCTAACTGGCTGCAACCCCCTTTCATCCCCCATGAGCGCTTGGCTTATCTGCCTTCCCTGCCTCAAGTGAATCCCAACCTTTCCTTGGACAAAATTCTGCTAAAAAATTTTTTTTTAAATTCTACTCAGAACTGGCATCCTTTGACTAGATTTGCCTGACCACCACCCATCCCTGATTCCTCCCCCCATGCCCATGTACTCAAGTGTAAAATGACGTCTGGATGCCATTTGCTGGCACTCCCATGGGTACTATGGATTCTGTTCTCTGCTTTAGACCATGTGCCCATCCAGTGATGACTGCATGGCAGCCCTGGAGTGCAGCATCCTGCGTCATGCCCATAGCGAGGGCATCTGATTCCACCCAAATAGGGTGTCTCAGCCCCCATGCCTCATTCATTCCCAGCACAGCCTCCCAGCCTCCAGCCAGAGCACCCCCCCACCCCCACGCCCCTCCTGGAGACCAGCTTTGCAGAGGGATGTGCAGAGCAGCAACTGAGAAGCTTCTTACCCAGCCCCCACTACTGTGGATCCAGTCGGCCAGCCGCGTCTCCAGGTAGGCCACCATCCACTCCTGTACTTGTCCCACAAGTGGCTCCATCTCCTTGTTGACACTCTCAGCACACAGAGCAGCTCCAAAGACAAAGAAGGCCACAAGGCGACCCCAGTTGGGGCCCCCTTGGAAGAGTTCATCAGAGACCTGGGTGAAGCGTTGCTGGGCTGAGCCCGGGGTCACATGCAGCTGAGCCGCCAGATCAGAGAAGGTGCGACGGAAACGGGTCTCGAACTCATCTCCAGCTGCCCGCATGGCTTGGTGCAGCGGGTCAGCTGCTGGGCCCTCTCCGGGACCCGCTCCACAAACATAACCCTTCTGCCTCAGCTTGTAGCCTACAAAGTCTGCCACCAGAGCCCGTGTGTCTGGGGCCGAGGCTGGGGTCGCCATCCGGGCGGCTGTAAAGGTCAAGGATAAAAGACTGGCATGAGTATATTTAGTCAGAGACACAGAATGGAGCATTTCAGGTTTGGCCAACCCAATGAGACAGGAAGGGAGGTGGGAGGGAATGTTCAGAGACCACTAGGCAGGGAGAGGCAACAACAAATTAAATTCAATTTACTTGTTATTAAATGTAAACAAGTAAATTTAACTTAAAACTACTTTAGATTTTACCCATAATAAGACAACACCAGTTCTATGATACCCCTACAAACCCCTCTCTGTAGTACACACCTTTTGGCTAGAGAAGAGGCTTAGAACCTCCCCAGAGGTAAGATGTGAAGACGCTGGCAGAGGCACAAGATGGGGGAGGAGACGGGCCGAAGGGAAAGGTGGGGGAACCAAGGGTTGCCAGGGGCAGAGAAGGAGGGGCACACTCACCCAGCCTGGATGGCAGCTCTTAGGACCCAGCACTGGTGGCAAGGAGCCCCCAGCTGGGGCCTTTCATCCTCCTGGCCTGCGTGGAGCCCTGGGAAGGGGAGGAGGATATCAGAGCCAGGTGGGGAAGGCCAGGGATTAGGGTCTGGGCTGAGAAAGGCTGGGATTGCAGCTCCCAGGACCAGGCCCCTGCCTCCAACGCTCTACCAGCTGTGTGGCCGAATCCATGTTTAATGACTGTCCTCCCGGGAAACCCAGGGCCAAGGGCTTCCTGCTGACACCATCTCTACTCCGGTCTCCCCCCAGAGCAGCCCAAAGGCCCAGCTCCTCCCTCACCCCAACCCTCAGCCTGTCTCCAATCCCTCCTGCCTGCCAGGTTAGGGATCTCACGGGTCAGGCCGCTGGCTGCCGGGATCCAGGCCGTTTCCTGGTGCAGGAGCTGGGAGGGAGGGAGAGTAGGAGGAAGGGAGGGAAGGAAGGAGGGAGGAGAAAGGGGGGGCGGGAGGGAGGGCCCGGCGCCTGGTGATGATGGGGCCCAGAGATGCGTCCAGAGAGAGGGGCGGGGCTGGGACGCAGGCTTGGGAAGGGCCACAATTCGGGTAGAGAGAGGGCTGCTGGCGGCCCAGAAGAGCAGGGCGGAGAGGGCACTGCGGGCTGGGCTGGGCTCCTGTCTCTGGAGGCTGCCCAGAGAAGCTGTATGGGCGGCAGCAAACCTCGGAGTAAATTCAGCATTTACAGAAGATCTCCGATGTTCCATGTACTTGTTGAACTTTTCGGGCCTTGGAGTGGGTGCCTGGAAAAGAAGTTCCCATACCAGTGGGAACTGCCTGCTAGATGCCTTGCCCTGTGGAACTGGCACACACAACATGGACACCAAACATTTCGCTTCCTCTTTTCTTCAGGACCTTTAACCCAGTGCTCTGTTGTAGGCTGTGGCTTTAACCAGGCACCAGGGAGCCAGGACTTGGATCGCAAGCAATTTCTGCAGGTAACTTTTCACCTTCTTTCTTCTTTTTGTAAGCATATTGGTTTTCTTTTTAATTCTTTTTACCCAACATATAAACTCATTTTCATTATGAAAAAGTCATAGAGGTATAAAGGGGGAAAAAAAATACAAGTTCTCAATCTCCCTCTTCCCCTCCCACAGTTCCTCCTCCCTTCCTGGAAATTGCCAATTAAGGTTAATGTTTATCCTTTCAGATTCCATATATGTGCATATATACGTATGTCTATTATTATACATGGCAGTACATTTATACAAGGCAGTTCACAGGTTGTGAAGCTGTTTGACCACAGCTGATCCACACTAGGGCATTCTCAGGCATGCTGATGGGCCCACCAGCTTTTGCAGCTGGCACTTCCTTCAGCTCCATTTGGAGAGATCCCCAACCAAAGGCCATAAAGAGGTAACCCAGTTCTCCTGTCCTGCCAGTTCCCTTTGCTTCTACCTTCAATCCAAGCCTTGGTATCACCATCTACCCCTATGGTCACTGGACAAACAAGGTCTTTTCTTTAACAGTCATATTAACAACTCACACATGTTGAGGACTTTTTAGGTGCTAAGTGCTTTCTTTACATGCATGATATTTTATTCTCACACCAATCCTTATTCTGTTTTATCCTCATTCAATGGATGAGGAAAGTGAGGCTTGGAGAGGTTAAGTAATGTGCCCAAAGTCACATACTGAGAAGCTGGGATTCAATCTAACTCTGTCTTAAAAGCTTGTCTTAACACTGTATTGCTTCAAGGTCCCTCTTCGCTTCAGGTCATCAGTGTGTTACCATGCCATTTACAAGTCCAAACTGAAGCCATGCCATTTACAAGCCCAAACTCAGTTCTCTCCTGCATTCTGAACACACAGCCCATTCCACTCCTTTATGACTATACTAGAGGCCCAGTGCATGAAATTCGTGCACTTGGGGGGAGGTCCCCTCAGCCCGGCCTGCACCCTCTCGCAGTCTGGGAGCCCTTGGGGGGAATGTCCAAATGCTGTTGGACATCCTTAGCGCTGCTGCAGAGGTGGGAGAGGCTCCCACCACCACCGTTGTGCTCGCCAGCCATGAGCCTGGCTTCTGGCTGAGCAGTGCTCCCCCTGTGGGACCAGCCATGAGCCTGGCTTCTGGCTGAGCAGTGCTCCCCCTGTGGGAGCGCACTGACCACCCGGGGCAGCTCCTACATTGAGTGTCTGCCCCCTGGTGGTCAGTGCGCATCATAGCAACCGGTCGTTTTCGCCTTTTGGTCGATTTGCACATTAGCCTTTATTATATAGGATTCTTTCAACCAACCTCACTTTTTCTTTACTCTTGGGCTGATCTTTCCAGCTGCTTCCAGCAACATTGTTTCCTTCTTCTGAGAATAACCTAATCCAGTCCTTCATTTCCAATCCTGATTTCTTCTAAGACATTTGCTTGAAATAAAACATTTTTAAGTCTCAGGATCCAAATATATTTCTGTCTTCAACACATTTATTTATAAGCTCTTTGAGAGCAGGAACTGAATTGTATTCACTTTTATGTCCTCATAGCCTAATAGACCCTCTGTAAATGTTGACTGAATGAATCACTCAATGCCTCTGGCCAGTTATCAAGCAGACCTAGTCAGATGTTTAAAGATAACTGCAGTGGCTATTTAAGACACAAAGGCTTATTTGGAATAAAGGTTCAGTGTCAGTCTGAGCAGCCAGGAGTACAGAGCTCCTGGACCAACACAAATTATATTGGGTTCAAAGCTATGTATTTCAAGTATCTTCTCAGACTAATACCACAGAGCCAAGGAATGGCAGCTCAAACTGTAGACAATGCAACAGAGCTTTTACCAGAAAATCTCAGGCCATATAGGCTAATCTTGAACATTATTCTGTTAATGATATATTTCACCAGAGCAAGGAAGACAGTTTTAAATTGGTTGACTGTAATACAAATTAGTGAAAGATTATTTTACACCACCATGATATATAAAAAGATATGTCCATGGGTTTATATACATATGTATTAAATAAGAAAAGAAAACTCAGTATCACTTTAAAAATTAGTCTTGGCTAAATAGCATTGCTGTGGTTATTACAGTAGCATGGCTGGAGTTAAAATGCAAACAGGAATAAATTGTACAATGTTAAGGTAGTATATGTCTCTGTTTATTTCCAACATAGTCACTAGTGACTTTTTTTTTAATATATATATTTTATTGATTTTTTTACAGAGAGGAAGGGGGAGGGATAGAGAGTTAGAAACATCGACGAGGGAGAAACATTGACCAGCTGCCTCCTGCACACCCCCCACTGGGGATGTGCCCGCAACCCAGGTACATGCCCTTGACCAGAATCGAACCTGGGACCCTTGAGTCCGCAGGCTGACGCTCTATCCACTGAGCCAGTTAGGGCTACTAGTGACTTTATAAACTCTCCTGCTGTTTTAAATTTAGAGATTCCATTTCTATTATAAGAGTCCCCATATTTCAGTAGTCTGGAGATGTTAGCTATGACCATTAAATGTTTTAATCTTATATAACCAATTAGATAAGAGAGTGGACTTTAGAGCCAGACTGCTGAGATTCTAATCCCAGCTCCCCAATTATTATCTATGTAATCCTGGGCAAAAGTCCTAGCCCCTCTTTCCATTGATTTTCTCATCTATAAAATTGCTATAGTAATACTCCCTGTTCCTGTGATGGCTGTATATGAGTCAATGTTTTTAAAATTTTTACAACCATACCTAGCATACTGTAAATGCTATATAAGATCAGTAGGTAAGTTAGAAAACAAATAAAACTTCACATGCCTTTTTCACTAACAAAGAAAAAAATGAAGAAAAATGCCAGCTCTGCTTTTTGGAACCTCCCATTGGAACTAGAATCCCACAGTCTCAGCTCCAAGAGAGTAGTGTGCTTACTCATGCAATAATTTGAGGGCCTAGTCTGTGATGAAACTGACTATGAATCAGATACAGCCTCTATCATCAAAGGGCTTACAGTCCGGTTAGAGATCTGAACTCTAATCCACTTTTTTAAAGGATGATAACTCTTAAGTCTAGAGAAGTTGTGCCTTGCTCCAGGTCACGCAGCTAAATAGCACCAGAGGTGAAACCATAAGCTATGTCTTTCTACAACTCTCAGTTCAGAGCTCTTTCCAATGGGCCACCCACTCTTGTGAGCACATCTCAGCTTCTATTGGGGACACCACCTAGTTTCATGACCTTCCCTTCTTTGCACCCACCGCCAAACCGCTCCCAAACCTGAAGCCTAGGGTTTAGAAACGAAAACGGTAAGCCCTTAAGAAAAAGCCACACGCTGCGCGTTTTGGACCTCCCCTGCAAGAAAAGAAAGCGTTACTCTTTACATTCTGCGGTAACTCTTCCAGCAAGGTTGAGGCCATAAAAAAAAAAAAAAAAAAAAAAAAAGGCAAAGTGGTCTTACTCAGGACCGAAAGGGTGGAGTCCCCGCCCCCTGATGCAGCTTGCAGCAGCGGCACCGAAGACAGATGGGGAGCCACCTGTCAGAGGGCTGTGGGCGGGTCCGGGGCCGGGAAGGCCGGGAGACCGGAGGGTGTGCGGCTGAGCGCACGCTCAGAGCCGACAGCTTGCAGAAGATGGGAGGTGACCGTCTAAAACTCTGGGAGCTGCCGGCCAGAGGGAGGGAAAGGTAGTCACGGAACCGAGGCAGAATTACGGGAGGGAGAGGATCCTGCAAGGAGGGACGGCTAAAGCAGGCGGCTGAAGCGGGCCCGGCGGCTTTAGCCATTGGGCCGGAGGGTAACGCGGCGGCGCTGCGGGCGGGGCCTGCGGGGCGGGCGATGCTATGTCTCGCGAGCGGCCCCCCCGCACGGACATCCCCCGCAACCTGAGCTTCATCGCCTCGCTAACGGAGCGAGCCTACTACCGCAGCCAGCGGCCCAGCCTGGAGGAGGAGCCGGAGGAGGAGCCAGGAGAGGGCGGGACTCGCCTCGGGGCCCGATCCCGCGCTCAGGCTTCGAGTCGGGGCCGCAGGGCTCGCTCGGCACCCGCCGGAGGCGGCGGGGCCCGGGCGTCCCGGAGCCGCAGCCCCGACACCCGCAAGAGAGTGCGTTTCGCCGACGCGCTGGGGCTCGAGCTGGCCGCCGTGCGCCGCTTCCGCCCGGGAGAGCTGCCCCGGGTGCCCCGCCACGTGCATGTCCAGCTGCAGAGGGACGCCCTCCGCCACTTCGCGCCGTGTCAGCCCCGCGCCCGCGGCCTTCAGGTAGGCTGCAGAGGCTCGCCTCTCCTCCGGGACCTCCCCATCCCCGCGTCCGCGTGGGGGAGTGGACTTAGCGAGGAAGACCCATCTTCACCCGCAAGCGCGGGCTGGCTCTGGCGCTTCCCTTTTGATGGGGGGCTCTAGGCTACTTTTGCCGCTGGGCCGCGCTCTGACCGCTGGGACCCGGGGTCGGGCTCGGGTGGGTCCAGTCCCTCGCCCTGCCCCCACCCCGGTCTCTGCCCCCTCTTCTCCGAGGCTCGTCCTCCCTCTCCCTCTTTCGTCCCCAGGAGGCGCGCGCCGCCCTGGAGCCCGCCCGCGAACCCGGCTTCGCCGCCCGTTTGCAGGCGCAGCGCATCTGCCTGGAGCGCGCCGAGGCGGGGCCCCTGGGCGTGGCGGGGAGCGCGCGGGTGCTGGACCTGGCCTACGAGAAGCGCGTGAGCGTGCGCTGGAGCGCCGACGGCTGGCGGAGCCACCGCGAGGCGCCCGCCTCCTACACCGGCCCGGCCCCGCCCCCTCCGCGCGCCGACCGCTTCGCTTTCCGCCTGCCCGCGCCTCCCCTCGGGGGCGCCCTGCTTTTCGCCCTGCGCTACCGCGTGACGGGCCACGAGTTCTGGGACAACAACGGCGGCCGTGACTATGCTCTACGTGGGCCCGAGCACCCCGGCAGCGGTGGAACCCCGGAGCCTCAGGGCTGGATCCACTTTATTTGAGACGCCTGCGGCCGACTGCGAAGGCACCCGGGGGCTGGGGGAGCCCGAAGATTTGGCGGGGAGGAGCGGGGGGAGCCGAGTTTGGCGGGGAGTTGTCCAAGGGAGTCAAGTGGGGAAGAAATCAAAGGGGTGCGGAAGTGGGAAGAATCAAAGTTGGGGAGATAGGGTGCAAAACACCAGCTGGATGTGAGTAAAAGGAACCCAAGGCATTAAGGAAAGGAGCCCGCAAAGGGTGCTGAAAGCATTAGAAAAAAAGCAAAACAATAGTGATGCTGATGACGTTCTCTTCCGTGAGTGGGCGCTGGGAGAGTTTGTCGGGCCTAAGCAGTCAAAGGTTAAGGTACCTCTCTGGGATTGAGGACGTATTTTGTATGAAGTCATCTGACTCATTCCCTTTCCCCCCCCAAGTTTGCCACCTCAGGTCCCCCAACCCTGCCCAACCCAGCTTTAATTCAGCCGTAATTGCCTTGTTAAAGTTCTAGGAACTTGGCCATTGCTCCCTGACCCTGGCATCATGATGGGATTCCCTTGTCACTCCTGCTTGTCCCTGGCTTCAGTCTCAGAATTGGCTGGAGAGTGATGGCAGGAAGCAGTCAGAGCCCCTTCCTCCAGCCTCCTGACAGCCCTCGGGGTTAAAATGAAGGCAAAACCAACTCCAGGCCTGTCCTTGCCGCCAAATCATGCAGCGCCTAAAGGGCTGATACACTCAGGGGCTTCCCGGGAAATGCCCGCTTTACCTTTCTGGGGTGCCTTCTAATGACCTATAAGCACTTTATGGACTGTACTTGTCAAGGGACAGTGAATCCCAAGAATCACTAATCTGCTTCTGCTTCAGAAGACAAGGAAGTCACTGACTAGCTGTATAACTTTGGACAGGTTCCTTCACCTCTCCGAGGCCCAGGTTCCTCCTTGGGAAATTGGATTTGGGTTAGGTGATCTCTTACTTTGACATTACCTTGCTTTGACATTTTATGATCTGTGAGTGGCACAGTATAGATGAGGAGCCACATTCTCCAACCTACAGTTGGAGAGCTACAGTTCAGAACACACAGAGCCCCTAGCATCTGATTGGGGCTGAGGATAGGTCCTCCACAGCCCAGGAAACATCCCCAAACCAGCCTGCAACCTCAGTATTCAGCCTCTCAAACCACAGCCCATCCTCTGCCCTTGCTTTTTGCTCTGGCCCCAGCCTGGGTTCTCTGAGATAGCTTTGAAGAGGTGCATCTCTCTTGGGGAAAGTGATGCTTGGAGGTCCCAAAGATGAAAAGAAACAACATTGGGGGCTCGCTTGAGGAGAAAGGATTATGGGCATAAGAAAGGGAGAGCATTTCAAATTAAGAATCAAAACAACTTGAAAATTAAATGGCTCCAGAAGATGGCAGTCTGCTCCATATTTTGAGCAAGTGAAGTAGGAGAGCTGGACTTTGGCCCACTCATGTTTATGCCTTATATTTTTCCTGGTTAACCTCTGCTGGTTATTTTTCTTTTCCTCTTACTCTGTTCCTAAGCCCTTTGCTTTTCTTTTTTCCTGTCACTTCCTCATCACTTTCACTTTTCTTTTAGCATACAGGGCATCTGCCTTCATTATCTCTATTTCCATTTGTCTCCCTCTCATCCTTATTCACCTGTGCTATTCCTTCTCCCTACAGAAGGGGTGGAAAACCTACTTTTTCTCCAAGACCATGGTTGACCCACCTTCCTCCCTCAGGCTCTTTCTTGACAGTCTTCTAGAAGGGAGAAGAGTGAAAAGAAGCAGTTCCTGATGCAGATGAACAAGGAGCTCCCAGGTAACCAGTTCCCGTCCCCTTTTCTATCTCTTACTGATTTCTCAAAGAAAATTCCCCGCAGCCCCCTTTTCCTTGTCAGTAAGGGAGAGAGTGCATGGGCATGTACCTGTACCTGCATTTGGAATACAGTATAGGGCTTTTTACCATGCCCCTCCCGTCTAAAGCCTTAATCCTTTGAAGAAAGATGGCTGAAAGAGAGGGACCCTGAGTCATTCCTCAAACAAATGCCCCTTTAAACATCATCCTTCTGGTGAAGAAAAAAATTTCATGCACCTTATGGATCATCTTCAGGCCAAAGTTCCAGCAGAGTGAAGAGAGAAACTGTACTGGAAGCCACCAACCAATGCACTTATTAGTCATCAGTGAAGAGCCCAAGGGAGGATAAGGGAGAGGGAGATTGGGTTGAGGCTCAGTGTGTAGTAATCTCTTGCTTAACATGTATGCATTACTGTTATGTTGTATTAACAATTGTAATAGTACACATTTACTTATCCACTAAAATCTGGTGTCTTGCATGCATTATAATATTACCCTGTTTTAGAGATAGGAAACTCTAAAACAGTAATTTGTTCAAGATTACATAGGTAGTGAATGCAGAGCTAGGATTATGAACCCAGGAAATCTCCAGAGCCTCTGTGCCTAATTGTGATGTTATACTTTTTCCTTTAAAAACAATTTTTTCTTATTAGGAAAAAAAATGCGGTTTCTAATTGTGCTTTGCCTTCCCATCCTCTCAGTCTCCTGAACTGGCTTGGAGAAGGCAAAGCACTGAGGGTCCCACATTTCATCTCCTTCCAGGAGCATGCTGCTGTCTCCTATGCTAGTGTCCCAGCTCTGCGGGATCAGCAAGGGACTAACCCACCTGCCTGCTAGAGAACTTGGAATCCATTTGAACCCATGCCATGGGATTCTCCCCTGATCCTAGCCAACCCTCCATACCTGTTGGTGTGCCACACCCTTTTACACTCCTACCACTAGCTTTGAACAGGCCAGTTGCCTAAACTTGCTGCTAGAAGGATCCCTGATGAAGACATTGCTGGATGTTCTGTGTGCTTGGGCCCTCTCTCAGAGTCCTGGTATTAGTGGATAAATGCAAGCTGGTTGGGCGCAGGGAACCAAGGGTAATCCATTGTTTGTAAGAAGTTACTGGCCCCATTCTCAGCTTTATAGACCCAGCACACTAGTCTTCAGGTTCTTCCCATATAGAGCTGCCCCAGGGCCTGGGGGTAAGCTGCTACGACTCAGGAAACACTATGAGTGTTAGGCATTGTGGTGGGGACTTTCCTCTAAAGCAGCGGTTCTCAACCTGTGGGTCGCGAACAATGAAAACACATCCTGCATATCAGATATTTACATTACGATTCATAACAGTAGCAACATTACAGTTATGAAGTAGCAACGAAAATAATTTTATGGTTGGGGGTCACCACAACATGAGGAACTGTATTAAAGGGTCGCGTCATTAGGAAGGTTGAGAACCACCGCAAGGTTGATGACTATGTGAACAGGAGCAATTTACAGTATAATATATCAGCCGTGGACTAGAAAGTGCCAGAAGAGAAACTATTACCAAAGTCAGGGGCTTGGGTCCTTGAAGCAACACAGCAGGAACACTGTTGCCTTTTTCTCTCATCCAGACGTCAGATGTCTCATAGCCTTCCTTCTTTATCGTTACGAATGTAGGTCATCATTTCTCTTCATAATAAGCCCTAATTCCTCAGCTTTCCAATCTAACTCCCACATTCCTTGCTTCTAACTCCTGTGTTTCTCTGGAGCTCCTCTGGATCCTTGTATTCCATGGGTCATAGAATCAGAGTCCTGTGAAAAAAGGCTTGTCTTTAGAGATCATTGGGTCCTGGCTCCTATACAGATGGGGACATGGGTCCAGAGATGAAAAGTGACTCCCGCAGGGTCAAAGAATTTTTTTTTTTTTTTAGTACAGCTCAAGATGGGGCTTAAACCCAGGCCTCTTGACTACATCCTATTCCCAGGCTTTGAAACAGGCTTCTGCACAATCAGACCCACAGTTTTTCATGGCAAGGGATATCAGAAATGTTTCATTTTCTGCTACTAGTTTCCATTCTCTTCCCCATCCAGGCATAAAGAGAAACAAGAGGAACTGATAGTTTTCTCTGTGTCCCCATCTGTGGCACTTCTTTTGCTGATATCACTAAAGTTGCTACAAAGATTGCATAATCTACCCATTGAGTAGCTAACCTGGATAGGAAAGGAAAGTTTGCCCTGTGAATTCACCACAAACTACTGTTCTCATCGGGCCCAGCGTCTTCCCAGCCCTTCATAGTGCAGCCCTCGTCACTGGGCCCCAAACCCACTAGTATTGTGCCTCACTGCAGCTTCCTCCTGCACCAGCTCTCCCTCTGGATAAAAGACCTCATGTTTGAAATAAAGTTGAAATATGAAAAGAATATATCATCAGATATTGAGAAGTATTGTTTGTTTTTTGGCCAGAACAGCAAGAGACCCAGAGGCAAGTTTCCTGGTCATCTCATTTCGTAAAAGTCCTATTCCCTGTCTACTAGAGCCCTCTGCCTATGCAAAAGTTGGGTGGGAAGGAGTTGGGCACCCAGGTATATGACTCCCTAGTAAACGATCCCACCACCATTGGAGCAGTGATAAAAGTTATCAGGGCCCAGTGCTTTAGTTTCCTGGCAGGTAGCACCAGCTGCTGGTGCAGTTAAAGGGAGCTTGGGTAGAAGTCCCGTGTTTCCCCTTGGGTGGAGGATGTTTTCCATAAGGGGACAATCCAAGTTATATCCTGCTCTTTAAGCACTGGAGAGAAGAGCAAAGCCCTTTTCCCTACCAAGGGAAACCCTAAAGCCAAAGATGAGAAATATGAGAGGGAGGAAAAGCAAGGGCCTCTGTCTAAAACAGAATGGAGCGACAGAAATCGATGTTAAAGGGAGGCATCCTTGAAAAATGTCAAGTTCTAGTGTAGTACTGTCTCCACATCACCTGAAGGACGAAAAATCCAGTTACCCATAAAGCTCTAGTGTGAGAATAATCAGATGCCTCCTCGTTACATCATAATAGCCAAACTGTGATGTCACTGCGGAGTATCCACTCTGGTACGTTATAAGTGAAACTACATATGCTGAAGAGGAGTCAGCATGAGGAGCAGACATCCAAGGAGAGGTAGGTGGGGGCTTTCCAGGGCTTCACGCCATGGCTTACGGCCTAGGGTCCCTCTGTGGCGTCAGCCTGTGTTCCAGAATTGTTGACATTAGGAGTATTCCTGGAAGCTGTATGTATTAGTTTTCTAGGGCTGCCGTAACAATACTACAGACTGGGTGACTTAACAGAAATTCAATTCTAGAAGTTTGAGATCAAGGTGTCAGCAGGGTTGGTTTCATTGAAGTTCCTCTGTCCTTCGCTTATAGGTGGCTATTTTCTTAATATGTCTTCACATGGTCTTTCCTATGTGCATGTTTGTGTCCGAATTTCTTATCATAAGGACAGTGGTCATGTTGGTTTAGGACTCCCCTCAGACCTCATTTTAACTTAATTACCTCTTTATAGACCTTATCTCTGAAAACATTATGAGGTACTGGGAGTTAGGACTTTAACATAAGAATTTTGGGGGAGGGGGACACAATTCAAGCCAGAACACTATACCTACTATTTACTCACAGAAGTAATTGCAAACCACAGATGTGACCCTAAAAAACCCAAACTAAATGTATCCCTAGCAATTTAGCCAATCCCCAAATGCCCAAGGCCCTTCCACTTATACCTGATGGAATGCAAAGTATGGTGGAAGGAAAGTCAAAGGAAAGAGATATCAATCTTAACCAATCGTTATGCTGGCAGGCACCCAGGGAATCCTCAAGCTGATATGGGGTCCAGGTTCTTGTCACAGGAGAAGAAATAATTCAAGTGTTACATTTAGCAAAGCATACATTTCTTCATGTGATAGTGTGCACTGAGAAGTGAGAGCAGGTGACCTCAGAGAACGAAATGTCCCAATGGAGTCTTGGTGGGAGTTTTTGGGTTTTTTTAAAATAATAGATTTAAAAATATATATTATTAGGTAGAAAGGAAGGGAGAGAGAGAGAAACATTGATAGGCTGCTTCCTACTGGGAGTAAGTCTGAAATCCAGATATGTGCCCTGACCGGGAATCAATCTATCCGTGACCTCTTGGTGCATGGAAGGACACTCAATTCACTGAACCACACCAGCCAGCCCCAGCCGGGCTTCATGGAAGGGTTCTATTAAATACTAGTGTCCTGGTGCATGGATTCGTGCACATTGAAAGGGAATTAATTAGAAGAAATATTTAAATACTGGTATTCCCCCTTTATAATTGGTCAACCAAATTCACGATCGACAATGACAGATTGAAACACACACATAATTGGCGCCAGTGAGAACTTTATATGTGTCGAACATGCGTGAGTCAACTTAGCCTATATGCTAAGTGTCCTTCCCACCTTCTGCCTGGTCGCTATGACGACTTGCTTTATAGCCAGGTAGAAACACTTTACACTGTAACCAAATGTCTGTGAAGCGTTTTCCTGTGCCTCATCTCATTAGATCTTCACAGAAGTCCTGGAGTAGGTAGATAGGAGACTCAATAGAATACTATTTTCTTTTCATTAGCCGGAAAATGGAGATTTAGAAAGCTTAGAAATTTTACCCAACTGAAAAGAAGTAAGAAATGGTGGACCTTAAAAATGACTTCAGGTTTTCTCACTGCGCAGAATGTAGTCAAACACTGCTGCAGTTAAATATTTCACCCTTTGTTCTCCCTGCATGATCTACAATAACAGTGTGCTTCGTGTTGATATTTACTGCTGTGTTGCTGACAATTACCTGAAAGAGAAGTTGGGATGCTTCATTGGGCTGGAAAAAGTTTAGCTAAATCCAAAAGCAGGTCTAATTAAGCAAGTTTATTCTGTATATATAAAAGGCTAAGTTGACTCGCACATGTGCGATACATATAGAGCTCTCGCTGGTGCCAGTCGCACTCGTGTGTTTCCATCTGTCATTGTCAATCATGAATTTGGTTCACACTTCTATTATAGAGAAAGGGCGAATAGCGATATTAAAATATTCTAATTAATTTCCTTTCAATGTGCACGAATTCCTGCACCGGGCCACTAGTATAGAATAAACTTGCTTAATTAGACCTGCTTTCTGATTTAGCTAAACTTTTTCCAGCCCAGTGAAGTACCCCAACTTCTCTTTCAGGCAATTGTCAGCAACACAGCAGTAAATATCAACACGAAGCAGGGAGAACAAAGGGTAAAATATTTAACTGCAGCAGTGTTTGACTATATTCTGTGCAGTGAGAAAACCTGAAGTCATTTTTAAGGTCCACCATTTCTTACTTCTTTTCAGTTGGATAAAATTTCTAAGCTTTCTAAATCTCCATTTTCCGGCTAATGAAAAGAAAATAGGATTCCACCAAGTCTCCTATCTACCTACTCCAGGACTTCTGTGAGGATCAAATGAGATGAGGCATGGGAAAACGCATCACAAACATTTGGTTAAATTATAAAATGCACCTGGCTATAAAACATGTTGGATTCCTGGGCTAAAGAAACTCCAAGAAGGCTAGTTGCTAGGGAGAGGAAGGCAGGCACTGCTATGTGACATCATTACCCAACACCCACAGCCACTGTTTCCGGGCTGGGCTGGGTTGTGGGCTGAATTTTGCATCATGGGGTCTTGGCAGCGTTGGCTGTGATTTGGTGGGGCGTCGCTCCAGGGTGGTGGCAAGGCCTGTAGGAAGCCAAGCATTGGTTTGTTGGTGCCAGGTCTGTGGTGCCCGTTTATTTTTAAATGGTCAGTGCATGTCATGGCAGCTCCTGGTGGTTAGTGCATGTCATAGCTACCGGTTGGATGGACAATATATATAGAGGCCCCGTGCATGGATTCGTGCACCGGTGGGGTCCCTCGGCCTGGCCTGTGGGGATTGGGCCAAAACTGGCTCTCTGACATCCCCCGAAGGGTCCCGGATTGTGAGAGGGCAGTTCTCGGGTGCTGCACCAGAATTGGGCTCCCTCCTCTCTTTTTTTTTTCTGTAATTATTGATATATACATTTTTTTTATTGTCTAAAGTTTTACATATGTCTCCTTTTTCCCCAATTGACCCCCCACCCCTGCCAGCCATTCTCACCCTGGGCAAGCCCCCAATGCCCCAGTGTCTGTGTCCATTGGTTATGCTAATATGCATGCATACAAGTCCTTTAGTTGCTCTCTAACCCCCCACTCCCCTACTATCTGTATCTAGATCAATCTATTCTTATTCATCAAATTATGTTGATCATTATATCCCACATATGAATGAGATCATGTGATATTATCTTTCTCCAACTGGCTTATTTCACTTAGCATAATGCTCTCCAGTTCCATCCATGTTGTTGCAAATGTTAAAATCCTTCTTCCTCTCTGGTTCTGGGTGGGTCACCTGAGACCTGTAGCTGCCAAGTCACCGCAGCTCGGCAGCCCCTGTTTGAGCATCTGCCCCCTGGTGGTCAGTGCACATCATAGCTACCGGCCGGTCGGCTGGTCACTTAGGCTTATACATATAGATGGACAAGGGGTAGATAGGGTGGTCCTCTCCTTCTGACGCTGATGGGGTGACTGCCAACGCAGCTTGTCCTTGCCCCTCCTTACCAGATAGTGATTCACCCCCCCTTTTTTTGTCCTCTCAATTACAAGAAATTGGTGAGGGGGAAGAGAAGAAACAGGTGGGCAGTGAAGGTTATGTCTGTGACCAAGACAAAAAATGGGAAGGGAGGGGTACAGCTTGAGGCTTTATTCTAACTTTCCTGCCTCAATTACAGTTTAAGGTTTTGTTTGTTTTCCAAATTTTACAAACACCTTTGACCATGCGAACACATTGCTGGGGCTCCTCCAGTGCTTTGGAAGCAGTCTGTGAGACTTCTCTTCCCAGGCTAGAGGGTAAGTGTGCCTCTGGTCAGTCCTGGGAATGTCTGAGCCATGCAAAGGGAGAGAGGATTTTTACCAGTGGTGACGGGGGTTAACACTTCTACCTTGAGGATGACATGATGAACCCCCACTCTTCAGCACTAGTTCCCTGGAAGAGCTGGGAGGGTTATTGTCTTGCTAAAGGTGGGACCCTCACTTTTCTGATATTGTCAGCCTCTTCCTCTCTTCCATTCCCCAAGCCAGTCAACTCCATCTTCTATTTAAAGCTTTAGGGTGAAATGCACATAAAAGCGGGAGGTGTCAGCCTGTACTCAGAACTGGGGCAGAGGAGTTTCTTCTTTCCTTGGGTTCTCCCTCTCCGAAATCTGTCTTTGATTCTGCTCCTGGCTCCTGGGAACTAGTGTCTTTCTGAGACAAAAAAGATGGCTGAGTTCTTCACCCATCATAATTCCAAGCCTGTGATTAGTGATGCCCGGAGTGACTGAATGGACCCTCCAGGGTTAGGCAATAAATTCCTACCC